CTGACTCTCTGTAAACCGCTTAGAGAGGCCTGAAAGGCCTATGAAGTGGTATATAAGTCCACTGCTATATTGCTATTGATCATTAAATGAACTATTGTGGAGAACTACCAGTATATGTTGAAGAATGGACACAGTTAGGACTGGGGAGTCGGAAACAAACCTCCAGTTTTGCTATCGATTCTCAGAGCCACTTCGCTCCAAAAATTACAGGGGTTATTATTAAACCGAGACCCATACGCTGTCCCGAGTGGCTTGTATGAAGTGCTTTCTTGGTAAACGTGAAATGTGTTGCTCTTGTTTGCAGAACCATTTTGGAGATCTGGATGGTGGCCATTATACTGCCTTCTGCAGACACACTCTCAGCCAGAACTGGTACAACTTCGACGATTCCCAGATCAACGAGATCCCAGAATCCTCCGTGCAGACGTCTGCCGCCTACCTTCTGTTTTATAGCAGCCAAGCTTTCTCTGCGCCCGTCAAGAACCAGAATGTGTAGGAGAACCAAGTCGTAGGTTCCGGGAGCCACATTGAATTGGCCCACGCTTTGGTTGCCGTTCAGGAACAACTGCATTTCCCCCCACCCCACCCTCCTACCCCTCTACGTGTCTTTGGATTGTACTGACGGAGTGACGTAGAAGCTGGCCCTTCCAAGCCACTTTCTTTCAGTGAAAAGAACGCTACTCGGCAAGCCTTACGCAGAACATTGACACAACACCTGCAGTTAAATAAACTCTTCTTGGACAGCCAGGGTTGAATGTTGATTATTACTGCAGCATCCACGGAGAACTAGATGCCTCCTCCTTATCACTCTGAATGGATTATACCTTGCCGAGTGAAGCTCATAAAAGTTTGGCAGTCTTCCGATTGGAAAAAAAAAAGGTGTACTGTTTAATAACTTGCAACCCCTCAAAAAGCATTCCCAGAGCAAACGTTAGTTAAGAAAGGGTAAACCCCCCCCAAATAAATGCTTCTTTAAATGCAATATTCCAACAATCTTGGACTCTGCATTTGCTCTCACCTAGTCTTGTTGTTGTTAGTCGCGAAGTTGTGTCTGACCCATTGCGACCCCGTGGACAACCTTCGTCCAGGTCTTCCTCTCTCATCCTCTTAAGTCCATTTAAGCTCACGCTGACTGCTTGGGTGACTCCATCCAGCCACCTCGTTCTCAGTCGTCCCCTTTTTCTTTTGCCCTCCATCGTTCCCAGCACGAGGCTCTTCTCCTGTGAGTTCTTCCTTCTCATTAGGTGGCCAAAGTACTTGAGTTTCATCTTCAGGATCTGGNCCATCCCATCCTATTCTTATGATTCTTGATGAATGCATTCTATTTTATTTTTCTTTATGTATACTGAGAGCATGTGCACCAAAGACAAAGTCCTCATGTGTCCATTCACAATTGGCCAATAAAGAATTCTGCTCTATTCTTTAAAACCTCCAGAGATGGAGCATCCATTTTGATATCTTTTCCATTGTATTTTCTTTGAGTGGTTAGGAGCTGATAAAAAAAATGATTCAAATTTCTCATGTACATAAACCCAGTGTTTTTCCTTAATTTCTTTTCTGCACTCAGTTATGAAATATATTAAAACAGAACTAGATGCTAGTCTGGTCTATTTCTATCCACTTCTTCCATTATAAATATGCCTTCAAACAACATACCAAGATGACTCAAAAACAATTTCTATTTGTACTATTGATAAAGATCATACTTCCTTTTCAGATTTGATTGTCAAGGCAGTTACAAAAAGAAACTTAAAACCGACATCTACTATCCTTTAAATAACCTGGATTTGTCTCCTTATATATATCCACTTTTTCGGAAAAACCCAAAATACAACTTATTTGCTGTCGTGGTAAGTGATTCTAGCATTCTTCCAGGATGACATTTCAGTTTTCTGTATGCAAGGATGTTCACTCCCTAAAAAATAATAAAAACGGGATAAGAATGAATGAATAGAAAGTTAAGAAAATGGAGTTCAGTAAAATAATTTTATTCTGTAACTAGAAAGGATGAACGTATGATGCTATTGTATGAGGAGCGAGATTTTCAGCAAGCTTTGCCAGTTGATGCAATCAAGAACAAATCTGGTAGAGATTATTAAAAAAAAGATAATAACATTATTATGCTCTCCAAATTACAGCTGGAAATGCTGAAAAACGGGCCTATCGGAAGTTCTGGAAGTCCGGAGATGGGCCTGTTTCCGGCTTCCAGAGATCTCTTGTGTCCAGGGGAGGCTCAAGGAAAGCCTCCGGAGCCTGGGGAGGGTAAAAATGACCCCCCTGTGAGGAAGCTGAGTGGGCTACAGCCCCATGGCCACACCCACCCAGCAACCGGGCAGAGAACCGTTTGCCAAACATTTTCAATCCCACCCCTGAACTATAGTTAATCTTAAATTTGGTTCTGAATTAGGGTGTATCTTACTGCACAACTAATATATGCAGGTCGATTTACAACCACAATTGACCCCCAAATTTCTGTTGTTAAGTGAGACATTTGTTAAGTGAGTTTTATGACCTTTCTTGCCACAGTTAAGGGAATCACTGCAGTTGATAAATTAGTGTCTGTGGTTGTGAGTTCGATCCTCAGTAGAGGCAGATATTTCTCTCTCTGGGCACAATGAGAATATATCTGACGAACAGAACTCCGCATTGGCAACAGGAAGGGCATCCGGCCATTAAAACACTCTGCTAGCTCCCTTTAGTTGCCCAGGCTTAGTTGCCCAAGTCCCTGCAAGGGATTATGGGGTTGTTAAATGTCGAGGATTGTATCCTTGAATGATCAAGGTGGCGCAGTGGTTAAATGCAGCACTGCAGGCTACTGCTAGATCAGCAGGTCAGCGGTTCAAATCTCACCGGCTCAGGGTTGACTCAG